AACTCGTTTCATTCCTGAATAAATCTGCGTTTTTCAATGAATCGTTGAGTGAATTATTCAACTCACTCAGAAAGAGAGTAACTCGTTTAATTCCCAAATGAATCTGTGTTTTTCAATTAATAGTTGAATTAATTATTCAATGTCTTACTCATAAAAATATTAACTTGTTTAATTCCTGTATGAATCTGTTTTTCAATAAATGGATCAGTGAATGATTCCATAACTCACTCACAAAGAGAGTAACTTATTTTGCTTCTGAATGAATCTGTTTTTTTCAATGAATTGGTTCAACTTAATGATTCAATGTCAAAGTCATTGACTTGTCGCCACCTACAGGTGTATCAATGTAAAATTCAGAAAGAGTAACTAAAAATCCCCACCACTAACAGACTGGCTGTCTGTTTGGAACAAACACAGATAAACAAAGTGATACAAACTGTTAAAAGTGCTGTTGGACTGTATATCAGTGCTCTTGGAATGCTGCTTGGTTGATCAAATTTGAGGACCAGAACTGTTGAATAAATAATATTAATAAAAATATTTTCTATGGTAATTGACATTATGCCACAAATGCTATCCAACTTAACTTTGGCTGAACCTGAAACATGCCTCTAATACTGCCAATATCCTTCAGTAACAGTGCACAGCCTGCCCTGGAAGATGCTCTGTGAAATCCATCATGAATTAGAGATACAGAACATTACGTAGATGCCAAGAAAATATTCTTCGCTTTTTCCTTCACTTTCACTGAGAACGAGCAGAGCAACAATCAACCTCACAGATCAAAAGGATATTGAAGTAGAAAGCAATATTGCTTCCAAAACAGAAAACTACTTGTCCTTCAATGCAATGAACTAAATTAAATGCATTTTGATGAAAAGCCTCTTCAACAGTTTGCCCTATTTAGCTGAAGATTGTGTTTGTTTTTACTTTTAATAGAAGCATACAAAGGTGTCTAGGCACTTTTAAAAGAGAGCTACATATATCTAGGTTGATGAATAGCTTGTTTTTTTTGTGTGAAGACTGAAGGAGGGCAGGCAGGTTTGACAGGATCTACTGAGGGTATGACAGCTCGGCGAAGAGCAGGTGCGGTGTATAGGATATGTATATATTTTCTAGGCTGCCTAAAATAAATCAGCTGAGCGCATGGATATGCTAGTATGTGTGTCACAAGTCCTACCTTACATTGGTGTGTCTCTGTACATAGAGGTTGTGAAAATTGTTGGTGTTTTCCGCCTGGCCAAAGTTAGGCCCCTTCAGTCTCTGAATGATCTCTGCCTTCATCACCCTCGCAATGTGGGCGGGCAACAGGGACAGCAAAAGACGCTCCTATTGGTTGAAAA